CCCACAGATGAACTTTTCTCACTTGTTTATTTTCCACATGGGGTGTCTCATTTAAAACAAATCCATTGTACATCCCCAGGCCCTAAATGTAGGCTGTGTTATGGATATCCTTTGAAACTTCTTTCTGATTTTCTCCAGGAAGGAGGGGAGGTAAAAGCTTGACTGAAAAGAAAAAAAATTTATAAGAAAGAAACAAAATAAAAACCATATTTTTAGCAGAAGGATTTTTGAAAGCCTTGGAAAATGTTGTGTTCACTCACATAAGGCCCCACTGTTTTAAACATATTTTACTATAATTTTTCCTTCAAAATTCTGACATGCAAAGTTGAACAGGGCTCTTTCAGTGTACAACCCCGGGATATGGAGAAATAGAAAGAACAGTATTCCAACTAATGCATGCTCAGTGGGGATCATAATATCGCATAATTGCTTGAAATCCACAGGCTGATCCGATGTCATCTTCAGAAATATGCAAGTTTCCCTTTGTTTTCTGAACTAGAGATATTTTCTTGCTTTAGGGCTTAACCCTTCAGCTCCCACCCCTAATTACTGAAACATGATGAAAAGTGAACATAGAGCTGCCCTTCCAAAACCTACTCCAAATGTTCTGTAAGAGTCTCCCAAATCTGCCAACTTTTCTTCTAACAGAAACACACAATATGTGTTTAATTTTGTCAGGGAACCTCAAGTGTTCCTTTTCACCCATTTCCTTTTCTACCTGTTTCTAAATACACACACACACACACACACACACACACACACACACACACACGCTCTCTCTCACACACACACACACACACACACACCGTCCTAAAATTTCCACAAGAAACTCTGCCAGAACAAAGAGTTGCTATTTCGGAGCATGTAGTGACATGTTTAAAAGTTCATCAACTTCCCCCTTAAAAAAAAAAAAAAACCTGGCAATGAGTCTAAAATAATTCAGAAAGATTTAGAGGAAAAAAACCCTTAAGACCTCTTCTTCTATAACATTATGTAAATCATAAATATACCCTGGTCTGGAAGTGATTACAACAAGCTATGAGACAAAAGGTACTCCAGCAGACATTGCTGACAATAGGCTCTGTTCTCTCATCACTGTATAAGAGGATTTGGGAAGGTAAGTTCTCGAAAGGACTAATACGAGTTTCATGTCATTAGGAAGAATTCCCAAGGGTATGTGTTCTAAATATTAACCTTGAGTCCTGGGCCATAACTGACTGATAAACTCAGTACAGAAGCGTGTCGTCTCATTGAAGGTGAAGGACCCCGGATGCTCCCAGCATTCACTCTCTTCTCTACTTCTCCCTTTTCTTCTCAATTTTCATTTGTCCCTGACCTTCCAAACAGGAGGCCTGGAATGAAGAGGAGGAAGCACTATATAAACAGTTCATTCTAGAAGCGTGAGTCATTCCCACCTCAGCTCCCCCATTGCCTATCTAAGGAATACCCATTCAAATCTAAGCTTCTCAATTGCTTTTAGAAATCACTTCTTTGTTTCATTTTTTCCCTATACCTTTACCCCAAGGGCAAAAGTTTAACTTTTTCACTCTTCTTAAAGCATTGCAATACTCAGTTTGGATAGTCAGTTAACAGAACATCAAGAATTGCATTTTGCTTGATTGTATAGCATTAGAAGCTAAGGCCAGCCAACTCAAAGGGACTCTGCAATGCCATTTTATAATTAAGCAGAGCGCCCGCTGGACCGCATGTTCTAACAGATGTTTCCTGGCCCCAGGTACTAAGCCAGCACATAGTAAAACTGCCCAGAGCGTCTCCCTGAGCCAAGATGGGTCAGTGTCTGGAACGACTCCTGTCTAGTGTCTCTTACTGTAATTAGAGAATGAGGCTAGCTTTTGGTCATCAATTCCATTTGAAAAATAGCCATGGCTAAATTAAAAAAAGAAAAAAGAAAGAACATCAGAGTACTTTTAAAATTGAAAAGCCCAATAAGAAAATGGAGATAATTTATTGGTGATTTGTTATTTCGAATAGTGTTTTAGACCTTATATAAACTCTGTACAATGATTTGCAAAATTCTTCAAGATGTTTTGCAAAATTTTCACTCCATTTATAAAATGGATAAAATTAGAGGTTCCTTATGCTTAGGCTGGAAAAGAATTTGTAGACTGGTTAGTACCAGGAAATCAAACGCATATGCTGTAGCGGCCAGTTGGTAAATGAACAAGTCAATGAAGGGCAAGAAAAACCATTCTGCCTTTTAAAAAAAAAATCTAGTTTTCTTTCATTTACTTGTTTTCAATAAGAGACATGGGTACAGGAATATATCTCTCCGAGAAAACAACAGATCAAGCAGAGGTTAAATTCAGGAGATGTGCTCCTGAGGTCAGCAAAGTCCTTATACCAGATTTGGCATCTGGAGACTGCTCTCAGCCTCTCAGCCCACGCAGTGATGCCACCCTTGCCCTTGCCCTAGGAGCTCTTGAACCTCCCCCAACAGTCAGCTACGGAGAGCAGGATATCCCTGGGATGTTGCTCTAGCACAAAGGTAATCCATTCTGATGAGTCCCTTGCTTAGTAGTTAAATGTTTTTACTATCACCCTGAGTACAAGTTCATGGACAAACAGAAACCAGTATTTTGCCTCTGTGTAGAGCAGACTAAAGGTAGTAGAAAATGATGAAGTCACGGGAGCCCTGGAGAGCCCATGCCATGTTAAAGGGCTCAGGGGGTCTGCTACTACAAAATGAGTAGAAATCTGGGACCCCTATGGCCAGATCTGATTTCTCGAGAGAAAATAAAAACCTACATTCTTATATGGAATTTCCCAATTAAATGTCACCACATTCAAGCACTACAGTAAGTAACACCCTTCTGTGGCCCAAGTCTGGCCTGGGTGCTCCAAATTTGCAACCTAGTGTTTTAAGTGACTTGCCCAACCATCACTCAAGTGACTCTAGATGTGGGCTAGAACTAGAATCTGGAGTTTCTGACTCCTTATCCAGTGAGACCTGACTTTCATTTCAACGGTCCTATAAACCACTGAATACCTTTCAAGAGGAATTTGTAGACTATATACCCTAAGAAGCAGGAACTTTGATATTTTTAGTATTATGTTTTTTTACACTAGCGTTTTCTCCTACAACAGAAAAGAAAAACTCATTTACAAAGTTGACATATAGAGGAGAAAAAGATAAAGGTTTCAGCTATTAAAGGCAATCTACAACTTCAAGAAAATGTTGGTCCTCTGGCAGGTTGGAAAGGACTGAGGAACATTTGTTTTAAACAAAGAGATGGATAGAACTCTAAGAAAGGTTTTAAAACATTTAAAACATCCTATGTTGAGGGTGGCCCATAGCAGGGTAGGAAAGCCTTCAAGTCAAAAGAAACCTCACTATTAGGAGTGATCTGGCTTTAATGGATTTCATATGATCCTGAGACCAATCTGTCCTTGTCATAGCTGTTCTTTACCTCTGTTATTAAGCAAAGTTGCACCTGGAGGGAGGTTAAGTGTTTATAACGTAGGTTTGTTCATGGATGTGTGTGTTAGTCACTCAGTCATGTCTGATTCTTTGTGACCCCTTGGACTGTAGCCCACCAGACTCCTCTGTCCATGGGATTGTCCAGGCAAGAATAGCGGAGTGAGTTGTCATTTCCTTCTCCAGGGGATCTTCCCAGCCAAGGGATCGAACCCAGGTCTCCTGCATTGCAGGCAGATTCTTTACAGTCTAAGCCACCAGGGAATCCCTGGTATTCATGGATTAACTGACATATATTGAGTATGTACCATGTCCCAGACCAAAATCTCAAATATCTGACTCATCTTCCTTTTACCACTTATGTTGTTATTGTTGTTTAGTTGCTCAGTCGTGTCTGACTCTTTCGCAGCCCTGTGGACTGTAGTCTACCAGGCTCCTATGTCTGTGGGATTTCCCAGCAAGAATGTTGGAATGGATTGCCATTTCCTTCTCCAAAGGATCTTCCCAACCCAGGGATGAAACCTGTGTCTCCTGCACATTTCCTGCATTGCAGGTGAATTCTTTACTGGCTGAGCCACCAGCGAAGCCCAATTACCCTATTAATCATTTATTAAAACAAACAAGCAAGCAAGCAATGTGGTCTTTTTCCTTAAACAGAAAAAATAAAATAAAACCTTAATTAGCCTAATGTTGGGATAAAGCTTGTATCAGTGAATCAAGTAGTCCTTGACCTTAAGTTCCCATGGACCATTAAGACATAAAGAACTAATTTTAATAAAAATGTTGGAAGCGTTTTGTTCAGTGCAAAGGAAAATTAATTTTCCTCGAGTCAGCTGGGAGATGTAAAGAGAGCCTCACCCTGGTTGTGATATTGGGTTGAGCCTTAAGGAATGAGCAGGCGTTTTCAAGGCCAAAAAGGGGAGGAAGGTCATTCTGGGCAGAGGAAGCAGTTGGCAGAAAGGCAGTCCCACAGTGCGTTCAGCATTTGTGGAAGAGCAAGTGGTTCAGGAGAGCTAAAGCCAAGGACACACGAGAAGAGTGGCAGGAAAACCTGACTGGGCTCAGTTTTAAATAAAATAATTACACGGTAGTGAGTATAACCTCTTACACTGAAGGTGAGGGGCACTGCCCAAGGTTTTAGAGATGGAGAGTGTCCGACCTGTTTGAAGTTAGAGAAAGACCATCTTGCCTCCAAAAGGCTGGTGACTGAAAGTACTGAGACTAAGAAAGTCAGTTTGGAAGCTGTCTAGACTCTTCAGGCAAAAGATGGTGAAGTACAGTCGGCCCTCTGTATCCATAGATGATATCTGAAATATGAAATTCCATAAAGTTTCAAAATGCAAATCTTGAATTTGCCAGCAACAATTTACACAGCTTTACTTTGTATTTACAACTACTTACGTAACATTTCTATTGTATTAGGTATAAGTAATCTAGAAATGATTTAAAGTATATGTGAGGATGTGTGTAGGTTATATGCAAATACTATGTCATTTTATATAAAATTCTTGAGCATCCATGGAGCTTGGTATTCTGGCGGAGGCTAGGGGCTACAACCAATCCCCTACACGTACGGAGGGGACCACTCTACTGAATTAGACAGTAACAGACGAGATGAAAAGGGAGAGCCACATCTGAAAATACCTTTTTTGAGGTAGAAACAATAGAACTTGGTGACCAGTTGAATAAGGAAAATAGGAGGGGTGAAGATTGAATCTGAAATCTTACCTTGAGGGCCTGGGTGGAAGAACATGTCATCTACCAAAACATAAGGGAAAGCAGGGTTTCTGGAGGGTAAATTTTGGAGAAGGAAGAGGGGCAGCTGGTAGATGAGCTCTGGCTTGGGGATGTTAAGGCTGAAGTGTCTTTTGTAGATTCTAGTAGGTGAAACTTCTGGAGAGCAGTAAAAACTGGATATGGGGTTCAAGCAAAAAATACAAACCATGATCTTGACCCATGTAGAAATGCTCTGGAAATAACCTTCAAATGATATGAATGGAAACTATTGGGTTAGCTAAAAAGTTTGTTTGTGTTTTTCTGTAACATCTTATGGAAAAACCTGAATGAACTTTTTTGGCCAGCCCAGCACATACTGAGAGCCCTAAAGGTTGATAATTAGTAGTAAACAAAGGCACAAAGCAGCACTTCAATCAGCTTCCATGTCCTTTTTTATACAATAAAACTGGGAAATTATTAAAAGAGCACCAGCCTTGGAATTATGCAGACATAGGTTTGGATAGTAATCATGCTATTTACTAGATGTTTGACTTTGGACAGGTTATTATGCAATCCCTGTTAGCAAGACACATAGGTGTTTTGAGGCAGGTGCTAATCTATGGACGGGAAATACAAAGATAAATAAAGGCCCTCAAATAGCTTAAATTTCCTTTTCTATAAAACAAGAAGATTATAGGGAGTACATTTCAAGCAGGCTTCCCAGGTGGCTCAATGGTAAAGAATCTGCCTGCCAAAGGAGGAGACATGAGTTCCACCCCTGGGTTGGGAAGATGTCTTGGAGGAGGAAACGGCAACCCACTCCAGTTTTCTTGCCTGGGGAATCCCACAGACAGAAAAGCCTGGTGGGGCTATAAGTTCATGGAGTTGCTTAAGAGTCAGACACAACTTAGCAACTAAATTAACAACAGCAAAATATTCCAAGCACCCAGCACAGCATAGACAGTACTGAGACCTGTCACCTTACCAAGTACCAAGTACCAAGTACTTGCTATTCATAGGCTCATTTAATTCTTACATCAAAACTATGCTGCTGCTGCTAAGTCACCTCAGTCATGTCTGACTCTGTGTGACCCCATAGAGGGCAGCCCACCAGGCCGAGATAGACCATTAATGTTGGTCCACTATACAGTTGGGAAAACTGAGCTTAGGTATGTCTTAGTTTCATAGGGAACAAATTAAGAGTCGTCTGATTCCCAAAATGCTGCACTTCATCTTCTTTCCTTTGCCAAAACCAAATGAGTAGGTGTAGCCAAGAACACCTTCTCTCTCTCTCACGTGTGTTTGGGTGTTTGTGTGACTAGTTCCAAACAGGAAAAGGAGTACGTCAAGGCTGCATATTGTCACCCTGCTTATTTAACTTATATGCAGAGTACATCATGAGAAACGCTGGGCTGAACGAAGCACAAGCTGGAATCAAGATTGCCGGGAGAAATATCAATAACCTCAGATATGCAGATGGCACCACTGTTATGGCAGAAAGTGAAGAACTAAAAAGCCTCTTGATGAAAGTGAAAGAGGAGAGTGAAAAGGTTGACTTAGAGCTCAACATTCAGAAAACTAAGATCATGGCATCTGGTCCCATCACTTATGGGAAATAGATGGAGAGACAGTGGAAACAGTGTCAGACTTTGGTTTTTTGGGGCTCCAAAATTACTGCAGATGGTGACTGCAGCCATGAAATTAAAAGATGCTTACTCCTTGGAAGGAAACTTATGACCAACCTAGATAGCATATTAAAAAGCAGAGACATTACTTTGCCAACAAAGTTCCGTCTAGTCAAGGCTATGGTTTTTCCACTGGTTATGTATGGATGTGAGTTGGACTGTGAAGAAAGCTGAGTGCTGAAGAATTGATGCTTTTGAACTGTGGTGTTGGAGAAGACTCTTGAGAGTCCCTTGGACTGCAAGGAGATCCAACCAGTCCATCCTAAAGGAGATCAGTCCTGGGTGTTCATTGGAAGGACTGATGCTGAAGCTGAAGCTCCAGTACTTTGGCCACCTCATGCGAAGAGCTGACTCATTGGAAAAGACCCTGATGCTGGGAGGGGTTGGGAGCAGGAGAAGGGGGCGACAGAGGATGAGATGGCTGGATGGCATCACTGACTCGATGGACATGAATTTGAGTAAACTCCGGGAGTTGGTGATGGACAGGGAGGCCTGGCGTGCTGCAGTTCATGGGGTCGCAAAGAGTCGGACAGGACTGAGCAACTGAACTGAACTGATGCTCACTTAGCCATGTCCGACTCTTTGTGACCCCGTGGACTGTAGGCCTTCAGGCTCCTCTATCCACGGGGTTCTCCAGGTAAGAATACTGGAGTGGGTTGACATTTCCTTCCTTAAAGAGTCTTCCCAACCCAGGGATCACACTCATATCTCTTGTCTCCTGCATTGGCAGGCAGTTTCTTTACCACTGAACCACCTGGGAAGCCCCACTTCTCTCTCACTTCCCTGAAAATATGAGTAAGAGAACTAGAAGTTATCATCCAATAAAGTACCAATTAAATTGAGATAAATGTTTCCTATTAACAGGGGGATAATCAAAATTCAAACTAGTCAAGATAGTGCTGGTATGAATTTCTTTAAATGATATTCAGAATAACTGAACTAAGGATGATTCCCTACAAATGCTCTTTGTCAGTTTGTAGATGGCCAAGGTTACATAGTCACACATGGTGGTCCTGGCTGCTACTATAATCTCTTTCCTACTGCAAATCATTTTTGGAAGTAGATGGAGAAAGAAATTTAGTGAGTCAATAATTTAATATTATAAGTATTTTGGAAGTAATTTTCACTGTTAAATAATGAAATACAACTGCTTAAAAGTCATTCTGGAGTGGGAATCTTCATTCTATAACCTTTTTATGTCTTCCACTTTGCTATCACTCTTAAATCTTCATTCTCATTACCATCACACTGGCTTGGTTTAGGCTCTCTTCATTTCCCTCCTGGATAGCACTCAACCCCTTGTGCTCTCTCTGCAGAACATGCTATCACAATTGCACCAAATCTTTATCCTTCTCCTAAAAAGCCTACCCACATTCATGCATGAACACAGGTTGCTTACAACATTTTGACCTTCATTCCCAATGCAGAGAACATTTTAGGTCCCACATGTAGCATGCTATTTCACACCTCTGGTCCTTGGCAGTTAGTAGCCTCTCTGTATGACATGCCCTACCCTAAGTTTATCTGATAAACTCCAACTCATCTTTAAACACACAGCTCAAGAGTCATCTCCTCTGAGAAACCCTTCATTACCTTTCCATGTGCTAGTCTTTGTATCCCACAAGATTCTGTTTATTAAGAAATCTGTCACACTAAATGACTTGTACTTGTTTACATGTTTATTTCTCCAAGTAAATGCTAAGCTCTGGGAAGAATGTATATCATCCTCTACATTTTTTAATCTCCATACCCAGGAGAACCCCAGCATATACAGTAGGGGCTCAGTAAATACTGTGACAGGAAATAGAACCGATTCCAGTTGTCATCATCGTGGTCATCATTCCATGGTTAGTGAATGCCCACAGGAGTGTAACTTGGTAGGTGTGTAGAGAGGTTGCAGGAGAGATAGCCAGACTCCTTGCTGTTTCTGATGAAAAGAAACGGGGGTCTCTCTAAAATAGGAAGGAAAGAAGAAAAGCTAGCGGAGCCTGAAATGTGTTCATTTTGTCACTTTCGGATGCCAGAGTTTGGGATTTTGGTGCAGGCCAAGCCACTTATCTTAGAAGGTTTTGACAAATTTTCTGGGAAAAAATAAAAGAAATGAATAAAATGAAAATCTGTGGTCAGAAGGTTACGGAAAGGCATGGCACACATTTCTGCTGGGGAATAGGAAGCGGTCTTGTCTCCCGCAGCAGGGCTGTCTAATAAATCTGGAGAGTTTTATTGACTTCATAGGCGCAAAAATAACCACCCGGAGAAGACATCGGGTTTCACTTATTTTTTTGGAAAGTAATTTTTCACAGACGCGAGGTTAAAAGAAAGCGGTTGCACGGGCTTCGGCTGTGGTGGTGTGTCTTCTGGTATGCGTAATGCAACTGGATCTCAATTCTGGGACGATGCCCAGTTTCAGAGGTCTAGAAACCTCTGTTGAAAACCATGAGGACAGGGTGTTGCCAAAGTTTTATGTATGCAACTGTAGCTCGGTTGTCTTAGTGCAAGGAGAGACTTTGATCAAGAGCGTCTGGAGGGAGGGGTTTCATTAAATGCTGTTTTCAGCCCTTAATTCTACAGCTTTTATGTCTGCATGTTCCTAAGTCTAGCACAGACCCCAAACAACCCTGACACAGAGAAGCCCCTCCCCAAACCCACGTCTGGCTCTCCCACAGCAGCAGTGAGGGGCATGGGAGGCGTTCCTGGGTAGAAATGATACACAGTTTGGAAGGTTTTGCTCCTTACTCCCTGGATTTTGGTCTTGTGTTGGACCATTCAAAGAGGAAAATGTTCTCCCCCTCCAGCCCCGTGTCTGTGATTCATTAGGAAAACTTCCCCTACACAAAGACAAGGTTTCCTAAGAAAATGCTTGATAAGACTGTACATTTGTTGACTGAGTTCTTCCTTTTCAAAACATCTGGCCAAGAAGAGAAACTTCAGCCAAACTTAGAAGGTTGAAGTGTCCCTTTCTGAACTCCTTTCCATTGTCCTCACAGTCATGGAAGAGATGGCAACTTGGAAATATTTTTAACAGTTTGCAACCTTTATGATCATTTCTCATGGTGAACCTGCAGGGACCTTCTCCCACAAGGCAAGGAAAACCATTTTTTCCATACATTTGGTACTTCTTCTATATATCAATAGGAATGCAGATAGAGAAGCTGTGATCCTAGCTGGTTGGTTTGTGAGTGGAACCACCTGATGTGTGGGAGGCCGATCATTCTCAGTGCCTCCAGCAGTCTCCATGAAAGTGGACTGGGGTCTTAAGAGTAGGATCATTGGATTAGAACTTGGGAAATAAAATTTAACACTACTCCATCTGAAAGAGTCACTTTGTTTGAAAGACTAACAAATAAATGGGTGGTTTCAAAGTCTATGTTTTAGTAGCGGAATCCGTTTTTAAAGGAGAATCACATATGATAAATTAGTAAACATTTATTGAGTCCTTGGGATGTGCAAGGCACTGGGCTGACCCAGGGATCGAACCCAAGTCTCCTGCATTGCAGACAAATTCTTTACTGTCTGAGCCACCGGGGGAGGCCTTTACATGCAT